TGTTGGTGGAGGGGAAGCTATCATAATCTCTCACCGCATTTTTGAATTTGAAATTTTCACTAAGGCTAATATACATTAAACATATTAAAAGTGTTTTATGACTGATTAGGTATTAGATGATATTAAGGAACTATTATCAATATATTTCTTGAGAGTATTATTATAGTTATATTTTTAAAAGTCCTTATTTTAAGAGATACTTTGAAGTATCTATAGATAGAGTGATGCACTGTTGGGGATTTCTTTTCAGTATAATCCCGTGTGTGGGGGAGTGGAGAATAAGAGGGGATATAGAAGAAATATGATTGGCCATGAGTTAAGTGTTGTAGCTAGGCAATGGGTACATGGCGGTATATTCTACTTCTTTCTGCATATATCTGAAATGTTTTATAATAAAAAGTTTAAAAAATGTTCCATGATCCTGGGCAAGAACAATTTACATTTATACTGCAAAGGTTCTGAATACTATCCATTTTATTCAAATTTTTTGACAAACTATGTGTCCAGAATAGTGTTAGTGCTGGACATACAACGAAGGCCCTTACCATCATGAAGGTTAAAGTCCAATAGAAGAAGCAATCAATGACAAATATTTATTGGTGCCTGCCACATGCCAGGCATTGCTCTAAATGCTAGACATTTATCAGTGAATATAAAAAGACAAAAATTCCTGCCCTTGTGAAGCTTACATTCATGTGGATAGAAACAGGCAATAAGCAAAATAAGAACATTACAATTAAATAGTACATTTGAAAATGATAAGTGCCTAGAAGAAAAATAAAACAAGAAAGAAGAATAGGGAATGCAGAAGTGGAGGGCACTGCAACTTTAAACAGGACAGTCAGGAATGCCTTCACTGAGAAGTTAACACTTGAGCTATGACTTGATGGAGGTGAGGGACCAATCCATGTGGATACTTGTAGGATGAATGTTTAAGGAAGAGGAAATAAGTGTAAAGCCTCTAGGCCAAGAAAATGCCAGGCATGTATAAAGAGTCAGCATGCCAGTGTAGTTATATTGGCATGAGCAAGGGAAAGGTTGTATAAGTTGAGAGATCAGAGAAATCAGGGTGCAGGGCTGGAGTGGGGTGCTGGCTTGTAGGTCATTGGCTTTTATGATGAGTGAAATAAGAAGCTGTTAGAGGGAACAGGTGGCTATGACACGGAAGTCAACAAGATCTTTGGTGTAAAGAAATTCAAGGAACTCAGAAGTCAGGTTACTAAAGGGATTAGCTATGTGGTTAATGACGTCACCAAGAATTAGGAGAAATGGAGACTGCCAGTGAAAGAGGAGATAAAATCTTTGAGGAATGAGGAGGAATAAGCTGGAGATCACAGATAATTTCAAGAAAGAGAGGTAATTCGATGACATGGATCATAAGAAGATCTAATGGATAACGGTCTGGAAGCAGCAATGAAAAGCAATCTACCTCCTTTCCAAGTCTAATAGAATAAGAGACGTAGGAAACAAAACAATAACAACTGGCGATTACTGGAGAAGCAGCAGTGTCCACAGAAGAGCATTAAATGTGAATTACAACTCTTAGTGCTTTGAAGGAAATATATGAGATATTAATTGGGGTGAGC